CGCCCGTCGTTTCTCCTGGAAAACGACATGTTCACTTATAAATGCTTTCATTTTTAAAGCATAAACGTTGATATTCGATGCCGTATTTTCTGTACAAAAACGGCGTGGTTTTCTTCACTTGGTTTTCGTTGGTGCTCTTCGGCTAAAGGACGAGTCAATTTGATGTCTTCGAATGAAAAAAATTGTTAAGTATTTTTAGTAGTTGGCAATCTTGTAAAAATTCAAAAAATAGGTTCAAGAAGATTTCATATTACAGAAGAAGATTCAGAATCAGATTTGAAAAGATAAGGATAAGGCCTTGGTCAAAGGAAGATAATGCATTAGTTATTTAAATTTAAATGAGATTCTAGAAAGAGATAAGGAGATATGATTTTAATATTTGCAGCTTATCCGACTTGTGGGAATTGAAGTTGGCATTAATTTGGATTTGTTGAATCTGATGTACAATTCGAATTTGAAATTGAAAAGTGTTATTGGAGATTATATGGAAGATGAAGTTAATAGAGCTACGTGTCTTGCAAATGAATGTGCAATCCGTTTGATATTTGAAGTTCAAAAGCAAGAGCTTTATATATATATATATATATATATATATATATAGTAATATATACATGACGGTATTGTGTTTTAAAAGTGGAATAATTAGTTTGGTTATTTGAGATTTGAATGTGTGATTTGGATAAGAGGAAGTTCTCTGTGTTTAATGAAGAACACGTGGAGATCAAGTGTTAACTTGTAATGAGGATAACTAATTCGGATTTGGAAGTTTGCTGCATAATTCAAATTGGAGATTGTGAAGATAACGTGAAGATATTTTGGAGCCTATCTAGGAGAGAGAATCATGGAGATAATGGAGAACTTATCAAGAGTGGATTTAAATGAGATTCTCTTGACTTGATTTAATAGCTTTGTTTTAGAGCATATGCAGTACGGATTTAATATAATATCTCTAGAGGAAAAGTTTGTGATTTTTGAGAGCTTACTACTGAGAAAAAATTCAGTGAGACGTCTGTGAGTTTTTATGAGTTATTGAGATCGTCCTTTGGGAGAGGGATTTTTTGCTTTCGGGAGGAAGCTCTGTTGGTCGAAGGGAGTTCGTTAGGTGAATAGAAGACGTGTGGTGCACGCTAAACAATCACTATGGAGATTCATCACAGCGGTGTCATTGTCTAGAAGGGAGTCCTTAAGTGAATAAGTCCGTCCGGTGTCTGTAATTTCTGGAACATAGTCAAACTATTTACTGTCTGGGCGTGGCCCCGCAGATGTAGGTGTGCGCACCGAACTGCAATATCATATTGTCTGTTCTTTTACTTTCTGCACTTTATTCTGCTTGAGAAACTGAACATAAGCCGTATTCCAGATAGTGTTCCAACATCATCTGGAACACCAGACGTAGCATCAGATCAAACAAGTGGTATCTGAGCGGTTCACTGACCATAAGTTTGGTGAGATCTTGAAGAGTTGATCTGTTATGTTTGGAATGGATTTTCTAAAGGAAGGAGATTCAGTTATACGTCCCTCTCTGCTCGATGGTTCAAATTATTCATACTGGAATGCCCGGATGAAGGCTTTCATCAAGGCTCAAGATGAGAAGGCCTAGCGTGCTGATTTGACTGGCTGGAAGCATCCTGTAACTAAGGATGCAGAAGGAAAAGAGACTATCAAGCTTGAAGAGTCATGGAGCACTGATGAAGACAGGTTGTCCAACTACAACTCACGTGCACTCAATGCAATATTCAATGGAGTTGATGTTAATCAGTTCAAGATGATATCCACGTGTGAATCGGTAAAAGAAGCATAGGAGATTTTAGAGATTGCTCATGAGGGAACCGCCGCCGTCAGACAATCCAAATTGAATATTCTCACAACCAGGTTTGAAAATCTTTGAATGTATGAAACTGAAGCTATTTCTGAATTTAATTCACGATTGTGTGATATAGCTAATGAATCCTTTGCTCTTGGTGAAAAAATTCCTGAGGCAAAACTTGTCAGCAAGACGTTGAGATCGTTACCACAGAGATTTGCCTACAAAGTCATTGCTATTGAAGAGGCGAAAAACACTAAGACTATGAGACTTGATGAATTGATGGGATCACTGAGGACATTTGAAATGAATCTGAGTCAAAATAAGAAGGAGAATGAGATTTCTCAGGGGATTGCTTTCCAAGCCGAAGTGGAAGATAATGTTGAGGAAGAAGATGAAGATTTAATGGGTTCTCTTACTCGATTGACTAAAAATTTCAACAAGGTGATGAAGAAGTTCAATGAGAAGAACCAAACTCCAACTTTCAATAACTCCAACAATTTTCAGAAAAATAAGGGAGCTACAAATTTCTCCAGTGATAAGAAGACGAATAGGAGAATTCAATGCCGGGAGTGCGACAGTTACGGTCACATTCAGTCTGAGTGTGCTAACACTCTCAAGAAGAGGAAGAAGTCTCTCAACGTCACATGGAGTGATGATGATTCTGAAGGCAACTAGGAAGATGCTGATCATGTGAACAACTATGTTGCGTTCAATGTCTACGAAGATGTTCCAAACTGCAGTGTTACAGATCATGTCACAGCTTATGTTGCAACATCATCTGCAACACACTCTAGAAAACCAGAAGAAAACAGAGATTTTTCAGATTCTGACGGTTCCAGCGATGGTGAAGAACTGACTGAGGAGACAATCTAGGAGGCATATGAAACCATGTTCAACAAATGGGTTTTGCTGGTTAAAATGAATAAGTGTTTGCGGGAGCGAGTCGATGAGCTTATTAAAGAGAAGGATGTACTAAGAGGGCTGCTGTAAATTATGAATTTCGGGCTGTTGAAAAGGAGAAAAAGCTGCAGGAGACAAGAGCTGAATTGGAGTATACTTAAAAGTCATTGAAGATGATGAATTCTGACACCACAGAATTGGATCACATTCTCTTGATAGGAAAAGTGAGTGGTGATCGACATGGCCTTGGCTATATTGGTAAGAGCTCAACGTCCAAGACAGTGTTTGTGAAAGAGAGGACTACCTCTAAGCCTCCGACTTCCTCCAGTAAGAAGGTTACTATCGCATCCCCTCGACAGAGAAGGTTTGTCCCCACATGTCATTACTGCAGTTTACCTGGCCACATAAGACCGAGATGCTACAAGTATTTAAATGCTTTGAAGAGAGGTATGTTTATTAATCCACCAAATTCTGTAAACTCAAAGAAGACACCTAACGTGAAGATTGATGTGAAAAATAATTTTTCTAGACGTGTGTGGGTAAGAAAATCTGATTTTAGGTGTCATAAGGCTTATACTTCTTTAGAAGCATGCACTAATAATTGTGGGTGTAGTGATGCTGGTTGCACTAAGCGATTGACAGGTGTTAAGAGCATTATACAAGGGAGAATGCCACAATCAGGGGGAGTAAGACACAGAGAAGATTAGAGGGGGGGGAGCTGTTGAAGACAGTTCTAGGGTGTGAATTTTTTTTTGTGTCTTAGGCTTATTTTTGATAAAAAGGGGGAGAACAAGTAATTTTAATTTTTTTTTGTCGTTTTTAAATTTTTTTAGGATCTCTTGTTAGTTTTGCCAAAAAATACCAAAGGGGGAGATTGTTAGGTATTTTTATTAGCTGGCAATTTATTGACAATCTTGTAAAAATTCAAAAAATAGGTTCAAGAAGATTTTGTACTACAGAAGAAGATTCGGAATCAGATTTGGAGAGATAAGGATAATGCATTGATAAAAGGAAGATAATGCATTGGTTATTTGAATTTAAATGAGATTTTAGAAAGAGATAAGGAGATATGATTTTGATATTTGCAGCTTATCCAACTTGTGGGAATTGAAGTTGGCATTAATTCGGATTTGTTGAATTTGATGTACAATCCGAATTTAAAATTGAAAAGTGTTATTGGAGATTATATGGAAGATGAAGTTAATAGAGCTACGTGTCTTGCAAATGAATGTGCAATCCGTTTGATATTTAAAGTTCCAAAGCAAGAGCTTTATATATATATATATATATATACATGGTTATATATACATGACGGTGTTGTGTTTTAAAAGTGGAATAATTGGTTTGGTTATTTGAGATTTGAATGTGTGATTTGGATAAGAGGAAGTTCTCTGTGTTTAATGAAGAACACGTGGAGATCAAGTGTTAACTTGTAATGAGGATAACTAATTCGGATTTGGAAGTTTGCTGGATAATTCAAATTGGAAATTGTGAAGATAACGTGAAGATATTTTAGAGCCTATCTAGGAGAGAGAATCATGAAGATAATGGAGAACTTATCAAGAGTGGATTAAAATGAGATTCTCTTAACTTGATTTAATAGCTTTGTTTCAGAGCATATGCAGTACAGATTTAATAGAATATCTCTAGAGGAAAAGTCTGTGATTTTTGAGAGCTTACTACTGAGAAAATATTCAGAGAGACGTCTGTGAGTTTTTATGAGTTATTGAGATCGTCTTTCGGAAGAGGGATTTGTTGTTTTCGGGAGGAAGCTTTGCCGGTCGAAGGGAGTTCGTCAGGTGAGTAGAAGATGTGTGGTGCACGCTAAACAATCACTGTGGAGATTCGTCACAGCGGCGTCATTGTTTAGGAAGGAGTCCTTAAGTGAATATGTCCGTTCGGTGTCTGTAATTTCTGAAACATAGTGAAACTGTTTATTGTCTGGGCGTGACCCCGCAGATGTAGGTGTGCGCTCCGAACTGTGATATCATATTGTCTGTTCTTTTACTTCTGCACTTTATTCTGCTTAAGAAACTGAATGTAATTAATCCGGATCTTAATTAATCAAGCTGTATTTCAGGCAGTGTTCCAACATCATCTGAAATATCAGACGTAACATCATATTAAACAAAAATAAAATCGTCAATTATGTTTTTCTTCAAAGTAAATACCACGTCGTTCCTTTCAGCGTCGTTTAATAATGGCAACTCTCTAATTTTTTTTTTTTAGGGTCTAATGGTAACTCTATTGCCTGAAATATTATGCACATGTCGTTAATCGTTGTTTGCCTTAATTTTCAACGATTAATAAATATAACAGATCTGAGTTTTTAGGAAAAGAACACATTTAATATTTAGTTTTTCTTCAGAGTAATGCTTTTAAACGTTCTTTATATGTTTTTATGGACAAAACTATATTAAAAAAGTTCTAAGTTTTTGTTTATTGAAAAATTATATTAGAGTTTAAAAAGTTTTTTTTTATTTGGTTTTAAACGTTACCAAATGGGGTCTAAAGTTTCGCACGGCATGGGAAGCAAGGTGTCAACTCAAGGAGATGTGTATAGTTTTGGAATCCTTTTGTTGGAAATCTTCACCGGAAAAAAACCCACGGATGAAAATCTTAAAGGACTTACCAAATGAGGTATTCTTTTGTGATGAAACTAAAAAAAAATTTGAACTCAAATTATAATTTTATTTAAGTTCATGTTTTTTTTTATAAAATTTGAGTTTAAACTCGAGTTTGGGGTTAAATTCGAATTCAAGTTTTCCCTTCAACTTGAGTTCATAAATTCAAACTCAAGTTAATGAACAATATTTTTTCTATTCTTAAAAATGCTATAACTTTTTCATTTTAATTTTGATTGAGATGATTTTTTTTCTATGTATTCACAACGAAAAGACGAATAAAATCTCACCCATATACCCTATTAAAATTTTTCATCACCATTGAATTTTTATTAAAATACTATCTAAATACAAATTTAAGTTTTGACCTACCCAAACACAAACTCAAATAGATTCTCAATTCAAATGTGGACATCCAAACACAAACTCAAGTTACAACTTCAACTCAAGTTATAATTTAAACTTAACTCAAGATTATCACTCAAATCATCATAACTTAAAAATGCAAAAGAACGACCCTAACACAACACATGAGTGCTTAATTTCTATGTCAATATGTCAAAATGGCTTTGCCAACAAGAGTGACGGAGATAGTTGATCAAAGTCTTCAAGAGGAAGCATCTCTCAACAGCACAACACATGAGTGCTTAATTTCTGTATTTATGATTGGTTTAAAGTGTCGGCAGGAATTGGCAGGAAAAAGAATGAAGATTGATGTTGCCCTTAAGGACTTGCACAAAATTAAAAAACATGCTCTTTGAGATATGTGAGGTACAAGGATTCATAAAATAGCTTATCTTCTCTTTAAAATAAAAAAAAAAAAGCACTAAATCTTTCTCCTTTTCTGAATTATCTCACAATTTTGTCAACCTCATGATGCAGGAACAACAATAGAGCCTGAATTTTTAAATGTTGAAGAAAGGATTGTTATACGGCGCGGCAAACACTTCTGTGCAGCATGCGTATTAGCTAGCAGTAATGTAATATACTGTAATTTCTGTCTTCGCTTTGGTTTTGGTATCCACAAGATTTCTGTTAAGCTCAACTATCAAAATAGCATGACTATGTAGGTTTTGTTTTCAGAACTAATATATGTTTTTGCAGTTGATATCAGGCATTGGTGTAAGGTGCGAGTAAGAAATATGATTATTGTTATTATTTCGAAGTTAAAGGCACATGTATACTGATAGAATTTAAGCCTGCCACTATTATGGATAAGTTGAATTTTTTTTTTGAGCAAATGGATAAGCGTTTTATTCACCAATTTAAACCGACCTCCCGAAATCATTTTCACCACTATTTATGGAATGTTCCTTCATATTACAGCGTCTCCTCTCCAACTGAAGGAAAAAATGTATGTCGTTTCTAGTAGAAGACGACATATCGCACTTATTTAATTTTTTTTTTTCCAAACATAAACGTCAAATCGTCTCTCTCTCTATAGATATATATATATATATATATATACCTACTCAATGTCGTGTATTTGTCATGCAGGAAAGACGTCGTTTTCTTCGCATGGTTTTTATTGTTGTTTTCGTACTAAACTAAAACGACAAACCATTTTCAAGAAGAGAAAAACGACAAATCATTTTGATGTCTACGAATTGGAAAGAAAAAAAAAAGACGACAATTATTTCTCTTCAAAGTAAATGCCACGCGGTTCCTTTCCGTGTCGTTTCATACTTGGATCAATGACTACTCTATTGCCTGAATTACGTTTAAGTTCTTAGGAAAACAAAACATATATGTTTTTCTTGTATGATTTTACTTTTTTTACAGGATTAATTTAAAAAATTCCTCATGAATTATGACTTTTGTAATATTAAGCCCTTCGAATTTTAAAACGTAACATTCGCTCTCTCTAAACTTTATTCCGTTAACAAATTTTTTTCTTATGTTACAATGAGTGACAGAATTGCCACGTGTCACTTATTTAGTGAGAATTAAAAGTACAATTACGCTTATACCCTCGTAATCAGATAATTTCTTATTTTTATTGAAAAATTCACCATCTTCTCCGTAAGAACTTACTAAACTTAGTGAAACAGCTCTTGCTAGCTTCAACCCAAATCCAGAAATTTTAGATTTTCCACCAACAGAAAGGCATCCCAATCCAACTATAAGCAGATCTAATACCTTGCTCTATATATACACAACAACCAAAGATCAGACTCCAGCGTTGAAGGATCACCACCATTAATTGTTAAAGTGGTAAGTTAATCTTTTCTGACCATCAGAACGAAGGTCGGGAGCAATCCCACCCTTTATGAATTGCTTCTCTCCCAACGACACCATCTCTTAAAAAAAATCATACACCATGCTCTATATCTAAAATTGAGCGAACAGTAAAGCCTTCTCCTTCTTTAGGAGAAGAAGAACCTTTAAAAGAAGAAAAAAAAAAGAGTTTTTCATTTCCTTGTGCGATTTTTTTTTTTTTTTTTGATAAGAGAAAAATTTTACATTGAATACAACCAATATAGAGGAGAGAGGAGAAGGAGTCCTCAGATATTACAAAAGGAAAGCTAAAAAGAACTCAAAAAACAGGAGCAAAACTAAAGAAATAAAAGCTAGAATCAGAGGCGAATGGCAGGGAAAAAAGACGAAAGTGTGGTGGTAGATCACTAGAAGACACGATAGTTTACGATAATACCCTCATCAGATGAGTCATGTATATGACACGTGGTGAATTCCGTCACTCATTATAACAGAATGTGAAAACTTGTTAATTAAACAAAGTTCAGAGGGAGCGGATGTTACGTTTTAAAATTCAGGAAGAAAAGTGTTACAAAGATCATAGTTCAGGAGAAATTTTTGAAATTAATCATTTTTTAAACGTTAATACGTTTTATGAATTATTAATTTAAAGTTAATTAATTTTAAAAGATAAAATGTTATATTTCGTCCAAACAAATCTTATGATAACATGATGAAATTTTGAGATTACGCAGATCTACTATAATATTATTAAAATTCAGAACTATTAATGGAATAAGGGTTTCAATGCTTTTAATCTCAATTTTTGGGTTTTAAAAACTCGACCCTTAAACTTGCTAAAAACTGTTACAATGTATTTTTTTTTATTTAGCAGATTTCGAGGTTGATATTAATATTTAAGTGATTTGGCTATCATTAGCTTTTTTGTTTACTAACTTACCCACTGTCAGTAAAATGTGACATATTAGCCGTATTTAGAATTAATTATGTTTTTATTTTTTACATTTTTCGAGAAAAAAAAATAAAAACATTTCTAAAACAGCGTTTGACATAATAAAAACAAAATTAATTATGTTTTTATTTTTTACATTTTTCGAGAAAAAAAAAATAAAAACATTTCTAAAACAGCGTTTGACATAATAAAAACAAAAAACAGAAATGAAAATGATTTTTTTGTTTAGTGTAAAATAAGAGAAAAATAAAAAATAATTTTTAGCCGTTTTTCATTTTTTATTTTTGTTTTCTCCTCTCTCGAGCAGAGAGAACGAGAAAGAAATATTAATGAGTTTTTTTTTATATTGAAAACAATATCTTGATAAAACTACCAAACGCATTTTCAAAAATGATTTCTGTCTGAGATTGAAAACGTTTTCATTTTTATTTTCATACAAAAAATAAAATCATTTTAATACGAGTTTCAAACGCACCCGTTAATTTTCAAGTTGAGAGGCAACACAAAAATAAAAAAATAAAAACTCAGGGGGGACAAGTTATAAAAACCTTAAGATTTTTTTTTTAGCAATAAAAAAAAAGAAATATCTTCCAACCGGCAGTCACTATTTACTTGACTGATCCAGTGAAAGACATTATACAAGATTTATGTTGAATTGTACAATTATTATATGTAAATATATAAGACATATGATGAATTGTATAACTTATCATACAACTTATTAAATTGTACAAACGCATATGTTAAATTGTATAACATGTAAATATATAAGACTTATACTTAATTGTATATTTTTACATATAAATATACATAATTTATGTTAACTTATACGACTATCGTTTTAATCCAGTAAATAGTAGGGCCGGTTTAAAAACTTTGCCTAAAAAAAAGTGCTAAAAATACATATTATAATGTCAAAAATTAAGAGTACAAAGAATTAATTTCTGAAGAACATATAAAACCCACTTCGCGAACACTTCGTCGTCCTTTGGGTTGGCGGGTCTCTTGCAGAAAATCCTCTCGCATATATGTTTTCTGACTGCTATTTCCCGCCAAGATTCGAGCTTCCCAAACAAGTCGCCGAGCTCTGCTTTGATTTCCGTGGAATCCGAACCTGAACTTCCCAAAATGCCATCCACCAGGTCCCATTCCTCTCTCTGCTTTTAATTTCCCTCAATGGCTTATTTGATGTTTCTTTTGACGAGATCTCGCGATTTTCTTGGGTACTGGACTAAAAGCTATTTTGGATGCGAAATTTTTACTTAATAGTTTCCTTGTCTGTGTTTTGCGGTTTATTAGAGTAGAGAACGATTAAGAAGTGATAATTTTACGAGTTTTCAATCTCGGTTCTTTTTTTTTTTTTTTTGGGTTATTCTTGCATTATATTGGTTAATTAAGTTTTGTTAGTTTATCAGTTCTCTAGAAAACCTAGACTGTTGGCAGTGACTAACATTGATTTTATATTATTCTAACCCTGTGGATTTTTTTTTTTGTGTGTGTGTGTGTGTGTGTTTACATTTGGATAATGGTTGATTATGAGGACAAATATCAATTAGACATGCCTAACACTTGAGTACTTGCTTATATGTTTAGAATATATTAAAGTCCAACGCATAATAACAATTTTGGAGTATGCAAATAAGAGAGTTTACTAATTCTTTCAAAAGTTTAAGCTGTTAGTTTTATATTTTAATAAGCTTTTTATCAAGTGACTAAATTGCTCTTGTTTAGAAGCTAAATTTGCGCCCTTTGTAATATATCATATTTGTCTTGAAATATTTGAAGGATGATTGACCCACATTTTATAGGCACAAATGCTCTGCGTGCTACAAGCAATATAAGAAACAGGAACACCTTGTTGAGCACATGCTGTTGTCATTCCACTCGGTGCATCAACCAAGATGTGGGGTCTGCGGAAAGCACTGCAAGTCTTTTGAATCATTGAGAGAACATATCACTGGTGGGAATAGAGATGTTATCCATCAAAAGTTTCATTAATCATGTTATTGCATTGTCTTTCGGATCATCTATTTAAATTTCTCGTCATGGGTTTTCTGTTTTTCATTCCCTTATCACTTAGGTCCACTGGCAAAAGCAAATTGTTCGACGGTTTTCTCTGAACGGGGTTGCAATCTATGCTTGAGACTCCTTGATAGCATCACTTCTCTCAATGAGCATAAGGAACTGTGTTGTTTTTCAGCACCAGCTCCTTTGGTAAGCTGATTGATTTTAAAAAAAAAAAAAAATAGTTCTGATAGGTTCTCGCCCTAGAGAAGTCTGTTGAAGCAACATGCCAGACAAAGGAAGCATACATAATTTTTGTTTATCTTGTAATGAACTTTGCAGGGGACGATAAAATTGCCATATGCAGTATCTCAAATTGATGTGTCGGACTCAAATGGTGAAAATCTAATTGAAAGAGGTCCTGAAGCAATAGCTATGGATTGCGAAATGGTCGGTGGTGGAAGTGATGGATCGTTGGATCTTTGTGCTAGGGTGTGCCTCATTGATGAGAATGAGAAGCTTCTTTTTCATGCTTATGTAGAGCCTCCAATTTCCGTTACTAACTACAGGTACTTGTAAGATTGATGTATGTTTTTTTTTTGGATTTTCTCACATAAGTTTTTTGCTAGTGGGGCTGCCCTGCTGACACACGTCTTCCTAGTTGTTACCAGATATGAAGTAACTGGACTAACGGAAGAACATCTGAGAAATGCAATGCCACTTAAAGAAGTGCAAGAAAAAATTTTGCAGATTCTGTACAATGGAGAATCAATTGGTAGAATAAGAGTACTGTCAGACGGTGGAAAGGCCAGGCTTCTTGTGGGACATAATATAGAGCATGATTTGGATTGTCTGAGAATGAATTACCCTAATCACCTGCTGAGGTACAAGAGAGTCTACCTATTAAAATTGCATAAGCTTTAGCAATTGAATAATTGTGATATTGAACTACTGTTTTACACATCCTACACTTCGGTCATTTATTTGTCATGGGTAGATAAGCTTGTCATTGCCCCAAGATATTCCTCAGTTTTTGCTCGACTGTTGCTGAAATTTTTGTGCAGGGATACTGCAAAGTACCATCCATTGATGAAAACAAATCTGGTTAGCCACTCTCTCAAGTACCTTACCAGAACATATCTAGGGCAAGTTGCTCATCTCTGCTGTCTTATTGATCTAATTGATTTCGTTCTGTTGTTCATTTATGTTGGCTTTGATTATGGTTTTTCTTTAATAAATGCGACATCTAAACCGAAATAATAGGGAAGTTCATCTCCACAGTATCTGCAAAGTGGATAACTACCTCATATTTCATTGTTCGCTTCTACAAAAGCAAAAAAAAAAAAGATTGCAAAAAATTTTCAGGTTACCACTCTCTTTTATCGAGCATATGTAATTGAATTAGCGACATAGAAAAGTGAACTGCAGAAGTTAACAATAACATCAACTAAATCTTTGTCAACTGCTTTCTTGTGGAGACACCTTTTTAGAAGAATTCTTGTAAAAAAAAGCAGCTCTGTGGATACATAAACGCTATGTTGATGAAGTGTTTGAGGCTTTGGCTTTGCAGGTATGATATTCAGACTGGTTTTCACGACCCCTATGAAGATTGTGTGTCTGTAATGAGACTCTACAAAAGAATGCGTGACTTGGAACATCATAAAGAAAGCATCGAGGGTTCATTTGCTACTCACGGTTCCCAAAACCACTTCAACAATTTCACTTCGTGGAACACCAAGGAACTCGAGAAGATGACACCAGACGAGCTTTACCAACTGTCCAGATCAAATTACCGGTGTTGGTGCCTAGATCAAGGCCAGAATACAGATAACAACTAGGTTTTCCTCCCTTCAACAATGAGAAATATACGGCTTTCTGAAACTTAAAAGTTTTTGTTTTTGTTTTTTTTTGTTTTTTTAATATCATTGGAAAATGGTGTTTTCTTCTGACATTGATGCTTTGGTATTCGGAGCCTTTTTGTAGTGAGTTTTTGTGCTGTGGGGGAAGAGCATCTATATATTTTCTTAACAACTAACATAACGTGTAGAAAATATACTTCCACATTCAATATTTATGTATCCTCTTTTCCTGATAAAGCAAAAGAGGTAGAAACATGCAAAGATGAAACCAGTGCTTCAAATTAGTAAAGCTTTAACAATCGGTCCAAAATAAGGCAAGATTATTATAATTTAACATTACTTGTGCTGATGCTTAGTTACAAAAAGAATGTGAACTGCAGCATATACCAACTTTTCGATTTTTTGTATATTTGTCCATCTTCGCCCTTTGTCAACTCCTGCATAAATAAAATATACCCCCTTCCTATCAAAAAAAAAAAAAGGAAAGCTAATAGGCTTATGCTTTGCTAGGAATCTAATACGTAGCATAATGTTAATACGAGACACCTCTCATCTCAACATACATACATATACAACCATATATTTGTGTATATTTATATATGAATGAGTTTTGAATGGTTATATTTTTATTGATGGTTACCGTATTAAATATAAAAATTCAATGAAATAACATAATAAGAACGCAATTTTATTAATTGTTATAAATTTTTTGATCAACTATTTAATTTATTTTAATCTTTTGATCAATATCTGAAACAACACAACGATACCCGTTAATTGATGCGCTCGGTAGAAAGGAAAGAACAGTCAGTCTTTTGGCTTTTACTAATCGCTCGCTATGGTAAACATGGTTGGTAGAAATCAACGTAACATACTTTTCACGTGGAAGCTCCTCAAGAAGGCCTTGGCCCTCAAGATCGCCCCTCCCCTCCCAAGCTCTTACTGGCTCCTCTCTCCACCAGGTAAACCAGTTTTGTACAACTGTTTTTATGGCAGTTTTACCCCCCACCCCCTCTTTTTTTTTTTTTGGAGTGTGAAGGTTCCTTTCTATGGAAGTTTCTAATGCACGCGAGGGAAACTTTCTTTTTGAACTACACCTCATCATTCAGTAAATCTCGAGTGGAACACTCACTTCCATTTTGTTGAAAACTTGCTAAGAAGCATTTTTAATTCACACACCATGTATATAAAAATATTTTTGTTACTATAATGGAGATTAGTGGCGTTCTCTCCCCCCCACTCAATGTCAGGGAAGACTTGCTTAGCAGCCTTCAGTTCTATTCTTTGTATTCTTATATCATATTGATTTTGTTAAGTGCACAAGCTCATTGTGGACGTCAAGAAACCTGCAGTGAAAATGAGAGCAATGTTCCAAACTTCCTCTTTTCTTTCTCTTCTGACCTTCTGCATCAAGATCCTAACTCTAGCTATCATCATGGTAGTTGGGAGCGCCACTGCGTCAGTTGTTCATGGAAATGTCACGGACAGGCTTGCGTTGCTTGCAATCAAGGTTCGGATTACTGAGGATCCTCTTAGAATCACAAGCTCATGGAATGACTCTCTCCATTTTTGCAACTGGCATGGTGTTTCCTGCGGCCGCAGGCACCAAAGAGTCACCCACTTGAACTTAGGGTCATTGAGTTTGAACGGTTCTATATCTCACTCCATTGGGAATCTCAGTTTTCTTCGAAGCGTTGATCTCTCAAATAATAGTTTTCATGGAGAACTACCAAGTGAGATCGGTCGCTTGTTTAGGTTGCAAGAGCTAGTTTCCAGTTACAACTATTTCGGAGGAGGAATACCAAGTAGCTTATCAAACTGCTCCAAGCTGAGAATACTGGATTTGCTACACAATGAATTCACTGGTAACATTCCTTTTGAGATTGGCCTTCTACCGAAGTTGGAGAAACTAAATCTCCACGGAAATAGATTGGAGGGAAACATTCCACCCCATCTTGGGAATATTTCATCCCTTCTAGAACTTTATATGTCAGAAAATAAATTGGAGGGAGACATTCCTGCATCACTAGGCCAATTGAAGAGCTTACTTGTTCTTGCCCTTGGTCACAACATGGTGTCAGGTACAATTCCTCAAGCTATCTATAACTTGTCACACCTTGTTTCTTTTTATCTTGGTGGGAATCAACTTCAAGGTAGCTTTCCTAATAACATTGGCCTTGCCCTCCCAAATATAGAAAGGTTTCTTGTTTGGGGAAACCAATTTAGTGGAAACATTCCGGTTTCTTTTTCAAATGCTTCAAACCTTGCTTTCTTTGATATCTCCATGAATAAGTTCTTTGGGCGGGTTCCTGATATTTTTGGGAACTTAAAGAAACTTGAGTGGGTAGTTATAGGCGGTTCCAATCTTGGGTATGGTGAAGCAAATGACTTCAAATTCTTCACCTCTTTTACCAATTGTAGCAATCTGGAAGCACTTCAAATACAACAAAATAACTTTGGAGGGGATTTGCCTAATTCCTTAGGAAACCTCTCAGCTAAACTTGAAATGCTATACCTTTATGATAATGGGGTTTCAGGAAACATTCCATCTGGTATTGGAAATCTCGTAAACTTAAGAGTACTAGAAATAGATGGCAATCGGCTCACTGGGACTATTCCTACAACTATTGGTAAACTTAATAGCTTGGTGAAGTTATATTTGGGGGGTAATGAATTATCTGGGGAGATCCCTTCCTCATTTGGAAATCTCACGTTGTTGAACGAGCTTCGATTAGAAGAGAACAATCTACAAGGAAACATTCCATCAAGTCTAGAAAACTGCCAAAACTTACAAGTGCTAAACCTCTTTAGTAATTCCCTGAATGGTACCATTCCTCCAAATGTAATTGGGCTGCCCTCTTTATCAATGTCCGTGGGACTCTCAAATAATAGTCTCACTGGACCTTTACCATCGAAAGTTGGTAACCTGAAAAATCTTGCTCTGTTGGACGTTTCTTACAATCAGTTAACGGGTAATATTCCTAGCAGCCTTGGCGAGTGTAAAAGCTTAATATGGCTTTATATGGGACATAATATGTTTGAAGGAACCATTGAATCTCTGCATTCTTTGAAAGCTATTGAAGAATTGGTTCTTTCACACAATAACTTTTCAGGACATATACCCAAAGATTTTGGCAAGTTTGTCTTTTTATCAAATTTAGATCTTTCATTTAATCATCTTGAGGGTGAAGTACCAAGTGGAGGTGTTTTCAGTAATGCCAGTGCAAATATTTCACTTGCTGGTAATGATAAGCTTTGTGGTGGTATTGCTGAGTTACACTTAACACCATGCTTTAAGAAATTGCCAAGGAAGCAACACTTGTCTTTCCGTGGAAAGCTGATCATCTCCATCGTCTGTGGCCTTTTTGGAATCAGTTTAATGTCATGTTTTCTGGTCATTCGTTGCTTTAGGAAGAATACGAAGCAACAATCTTCAGAATCTTTGTGGAGGGATGTTCCATATCTGAATATTTCTTATGGGGAACTTCTGAAAGCAACTAACGGGTTTTGTCAAGAAAGCATGATTGGCGCTGGTAGCTTTGGCTCTGTATATAAAGGGATTCTTGAACTGCATCAACTGCCCATCGCAGTGAAGGTCTTCAACCTTGAAAGGAGAGGAGCTTCCAAGAGTTTTATGGCCGAATGTGAAACTCTAAGGAATATTAGACACCGAAATCTTGTGAAAATCATTACTGCTTGCTCAAGTGTTGATTTTCAAGGTAATGATTTCAAAGCCCTCATCTATGAGTTCATGCCAAATGGAAGTTTGGAAGATTGGTTGCATCCACGTCCACAAACCGGAGAAAATCAGAGGAAAAGGTTAGCTCTGGCCTTGCGACAGAATATGGTCATTGATGTGGCATCAGCATTGGATTATCTTCATAATCACAGTGAACCGCCAATTATTCATTGTGACCTAAAGCCAAGCAACATTCTGCTTGATCAAGACATGACCACACACGTGAGCGATTTTGGCTTGTCAAGGATTATTGCAGAAGATAATGTTGAAATATCCCAGAATCACACAAGCTCTCTGGGAATAAGAGGAACAATTGGATATGCAGCCCCAGGTAACTTTACCTTTTTTTTTTTTCCTCGAACTAGTTGTCTTCTTAATATCGTAAATGATTGCGGTTTACTTCATACTATGCTTTTCTGAATTCGAATCTTTGTTTGATACACCCAGGTGTGTATGTGTGTGTACATATGTAACATATGTAGTATCTTCACATGCTTGCGTGTATGCATTTATGATGGATTATTATGATATATCCATATCATAATGCTAACTCCAATATATTTATTGGACTTGTGAGATATTGCAGAATATGGCATGGGAAGCAAAGTGTCAACCCAAGGAGATGTGTATAGCTTTGGAATCCTTTTGTTGGAAGTCTTCACTGGAAAAAGGCCCACAGACGAAAATCTTGAAGGACTTAGCCTCCATCAATTTGCCAAAATGACTTTGCAAGAAAGAGCGATGGAGATAGTTTATCAGAGTTTCCTAAGAGAAGGAGAAGACGAAGCATCACACAGAGATAAAATGATGCAAACAAGAAGCGGCAGGGTACACGAATGCTTAATTTCCATATTGACGATTGGTTTGAAGTGTTCAGAGGAATTACCAGGAAACAGGATGAAGATTAATGATGCCCTCAAGGATTTGCACAAACTTGCTTTTTAAATGTATGAGGTACAACTTACAAGGATCAATGGATTATCTTATCTTCTCTCGGAAAATGCACTAAATCTTACATTCATCTTTTATGAATTCTCATTATTTTTTCAATCTTGTTTTGCAGGAACAGCAATCCAGCTTGAACTTTTTTTTATGTTGAAAAAGTGATAGTTATAATGTCTAGGAAACACTTCTATTCCACGCGCATATTAGCTAGTTCGCTCATCTTCTCTCGGAAAATGCACTAAATCTTACATTCATCTTTTATGAATTCTCATTATTTTTTCAATCTTGTTTTGCAGCAGGAACAACAATCCAGCTTGAACTTTTTTTATGTTGAAATAGCGATCGTTATAATGTCTAGGAAACACTTCTATTCCACGCGCATATTAGCTAGTTCTAATGTTTAGAAGTACAATTGTATGTTGTAATTTCTGTTTCTGCTTTGGTTTTGTTATCCATGATACTTATTCATGCCCAACTATCAAAATAGTGTGAATAGCTTATGTTTTCGGAAGTGTATTTTTGCAGTTGAAATTATGCATAGGTGTAAACTACTACGAAGTTTATTATTATTATATAGTAATAAAGTCGAAGTTCAATTTGAATTTGGAGTAAGGGATCTGAAATCACAACCTCAAGATTTCGATACAGGTGTTCATTTACTGTTGGGATAAGCCTGCCACTACTTATATAAGCCTCGTTCACTTTGCGGATTCGAGTTTTCAATTCGAGCTGAGATGTGACATTTTCTGATAGCTTTTTACTATAGCAGAAAAAATTAAATATGACATTTTCTGAGAGCTTTTTACTGTAGAAACTTAAAACTAAAAACTCAAATCGGTGAAATGAACGAGGCTATAGTCTTTCTTTTTATTCTTATATTTTTGGGGATGATCAGCCTCTTGTAGCTAGCTAGGCAATGTGACACATAAAGGTCAACATTGGTTGTATGTAGTTATTTAATTTCAGATGATACAAACTGGGTAACTTTAATGTTTTTGCAAACTATAAGAAAAGCACACCTCATCACATGCTCATTTCCACAATCCAATATGATTTAGCTTAATTGGCATCATAATGTCCTTGCCCTTTGGAAAGATTGATAAGTTTGCTCACCACGTGATTCGATAATTTCCTCAATGAGATGAGCAGTATTATATATTCTTGTCCAACCTTAATTATATATAGACTTTTAAATATACCTGGTCCTGTTTAAAGGCAAAAAAAGGTTTAACTCAACACCCTTTTAGGGCTTTTTTTATAAATAAAATAAAATAAACTAAAATGAAGAAATTGGGTTTTGAGGTTAAAGATCATTCATCATAGGCATGTCGATCAATTATGCATTAATTTGGGTTCACAAGCCCTACCACATCGTTGTACTGTTAGCCTCAACAACCACCTCCTTAATTCATGAATTACATAAGAAGTCCTAGATTTCTGATTATTTAAGGTTGTAAAAGTCCTTTTTTAGTAGTAGAACATCTTTAATTGGGGTCGCTCATCACCTTATCCGTCATAGAAGGAGGAACTGAGAAAAGAGCTTTGAAAGTGCTAATTGAAAGTTAGAAAGTGCATACCAAGAGAAAAGTTGTGAGTGATTCTAAAGGATGATTGTATCCATAATTATTGTACCAATTACAACAATATTGCTCTTACATCTTCTATTTAGCCCTATTCAAAAGAAGAAAAAAATAAAAAAAACTTGCAATTTTATCGCTAATTACTAAGAGCATTGGAGGACATCTATATATATATATATATATATATATATTTATGTGTGTGTATATATTGTTGAGATTTGTTCTCGATCCTTGTAATCTCCTTTTGTAATTCTTTCCTAATTTAGGGACACCACAGTTGTATGATGAGTGTGAACAAAATAGTTAGCCTTGATTATAGGACGTGACTAGGACGTGATTCTAGGATAGTTGATTGTATTTTCTACCTATATAACCATGTACAGACTAATCACAAAGTATGAATGAAAAATACAATTTCTATATTTTTCAAGTTGGTATCAGAGCCTCTAGATTCTCTTGTTCATTCATCGTAAAAAAAAAAAAAACCAGAAATCAGATTCCTTCTCAAAACCAAAATCAAAAACCCAGAAATCAGATATCTTTCTCAAACCCAAAATCAAACTCAACCACAAACCCCGCCGTTGGAAGCCGTCGCTCGCCACCGTCTGAAGACATCGCGTCCAGACCCACTGCCTTCGCCGATCAGACTCGTCGCCCAGACTCGCTGCCTCCACCGATCTTCTCGCCAGACGTCGTCATCACCCGCCACGGCTCTTCTCTTTGCTTGTTGTTTCCGTGTTTCTCAGTCAAAGCCATATGCTTCGTGATTAATCTCAGGAAAACGACAGAGTTTGTCTTGTCTTGCTTATAAAGTTTGCTTTCCAGAGTTTGTTCTCACGCTCGCCACCGTCTGAAGACATCGCGTCCAGACCCACTGCCTTCGCCGATCAGACTCGTCGCCCAGACTCCCTGCCTCCACCGATCTTCTCGCCAGACGTCGTCATCACCCGCCACGGCTCTTCGCCAGACTCCCTGCCTCCACATTTTTTTTTTTAAAAATGAGTGAAAAAAATCATGAATTGTTTGGGATTAAATCCATTCCGGTTTTGGTTCAGTCCGAGGGAGTCTTTAACGCAGGAATCACCCTTACCGAATCAAACTATGACATATGGTCCCAATTGATGGAAATGCAAATTGCTGAAAGAGACAAGATCTCCCACATTCGTGGCAAGATAAAGCCACCTGCAGAATCGGATGAAGGCTATGAGAAATGGTATGCTGAAAATCAAAAGGTCAGAAGGTGGCTATTGATGTCGATGTCTCCAGAAATTATGAGGCGTTATTTACGCTTACCCACTGCCTACGAAATTTGGGATGCTATTTCAAAAGCATTCTATGATGGAACTGATGAATTGCAAGTGTTCACTTTGAACCAAAAGGCCTTTACTGCCAAACAACAAGGCAAAACACTCTCTGTTTATTATGGGGAGCTCACTGAAATATTCCAAGAGTTGGACTATCGTGATAAGGTAGTCATGAAGGATCCTGATGACGTCACAGCATACCGAAAATCCATTGAACGATTAAGAGTTCACATATTCCTCGCTGGATTAGATGGGGAGTTTGATCAAATCCGACGAGAGATTTTGCGAAGTGACCCAGCTCCAAACCTGGAGGAGTGTTATTCTTTAATTCGACGAGAGAGTGTACGCCTTATCACCCTGAAAGGCGTGTCCGGAACATCTGAAGCTTCTGCCATGGTGGCTCGTAACCAGCCTAACCAGAATCAACAAGACCGAGTACGACCCAACAATGGTAAAACGACCAATGGTATTGACAAGTCCACTTACAAATGCACCCAATGCAATCGGACTGGTCATACCAAAAGTCGTTGTTTCGAGCTGGTGGGATATCCAGAATGGTGGGATCATAGCCGGTCCAAGAAAGATCAAAAAAGAACATCCACTGCAGCAGTTGTTGAAACAAAAGAAGATATTGCTGAAAAAGCTTCGGCGTTGGTAATAGCTGCAGATAATGGTGGTAAGGTTTTAAATATTTCTACACCTATTTTTAATAGTGCATGGATAATTGATTCTGGTGCAACAGATCATATGACATTTGATTCTAGACAAGTCTCACCTCTTAAAACCTCCTTACAAAAGTTTGTTTCTACTGCCAATGGAACCTCGACCCCAGTCTCTGGGGAAGGATCTTTAACTCTCACCGATACCTTAAATTTAGATTCGGTTTTAGTTGTTCCATCTTTAAATTATAACCTTTTGTCAGTTTCCCAAATAACAAAAACCTTGTCTTGTATTGTAATCTTTTGGCCTGAATTTTGTGTGTTTAAGGACATTCAAACCAGGAAGACGATTGGTTATGGT